GACAATGAGGGACACTATGTAATGATAAAAGGATTGATCCATCAAGAAGACATACCAATCATAAATATATATGCACCCAATGTCGGAGCAGTCAGATTTATAAAGCAAACTCTATTAGACCTAAAGAAGGAACTAGACACTAATACCATAATAGCAGGGGACCCCACTATCAATTTTGGACAGATCATCTAGGCAAAGAATCAGCAGAGAAACACAAGATCTAAACAACACTCTAGACTAATTGGACATGGCAGATATCTACAGAACATTCCATCCAACAACCTCAGAATATTCATTCTTCTCATCAGCACATGGCTCATTTACCAGGATTCTATGACATGTTAGGTCACAAATCAAGTATCAACAAATTCAAAAAAACTGGAATTATTCCATGTATTTTTTCAGACCACAATGGATTAAAGTTAGAAATCAATAACAAATGAAATTCTGGAAACTATACGAACACATGGAAATGAAACAGCATTCTACTTAATGACATATGGGTCCAAGAAGAAATCAAACAAGAAATCAAAAAATTTATTGAAACTAATGAAAACAATGATACATCATATCAAAACCTGTGGGATACAGCAAAAGCAGTACTAAGGGGGAAATTTATCACGTAAAATGCTCACTTCAGAAAAATGGAAAGATGGCAAGAGAACAACCTAATACTTCACCTTAAAGAACTAGAAAAACAAGAATGATCCAATCCCAAAGTTAGAAGGAAAGAAATCATTAAGATCAGAGCTGAACTTAATGAAATTGAAACCCCAAAAACAATACAAAAGATCAATGAATCAAAAAATTGGTTTTTTGAAAAGATAAATTGACAAACCATTAGCACGGCTAACTAAAAAAAGAAGAGAGAAGATCCAAATAACAAAAATTAGAAATGAAAAAGGTGATATTACAAATGATACCTTGGAAATACAAGGAATCATTTGAGACTACTATAAACAACTAAATGCCAACAAATTTGAAAATCTGGAGGAAATGGATACAGAAGCTACCAAAACTGAGCCATGAAGATGTAGAAAATCTGAACAGACCCAATAAAGGAGATTGAAGCTGTTATCAGAAGGCTCCCAACAAAGAAAAGCCCAGGACCAGATGGATTCACAGCAGAATTTTACCAAACATTCAAAGAGGAATTGACACCGATTCTTTACAAACTATTCCAAAAGACCAAAACAGAGGCAATTCTCCCACACTCATTCTATGAAGCATATATCACCCTGATACCAAAACCAGGTAAAGATACAACTAAAAAAGAAAACTACAGGCCAATATCCTGGATGAACATAAATGCAAAAATCCTCACTAAAATATGGGCCGGCCCGGTGGCGCACTGGATAGTGCGCCGCTTTTGGGAAGCACGGCGGCGCTCCCGCCTGAGGGTTCGGATCCCACATACAGACCGGTTCCCGCCCACTGGCTGAGCGAGACGCGGGGGCGGCACCAAGGGTTGCGGTCCCGTTGCCGGTTCCGGTCCGGTGCGGGGGCGACACTGAGGGTTGCGATCGTTGCCGGACACGGAAAAAGACAAAAAAAAAAAAAAATCCTCACTAAAATAATAGCTAACAGAATACAGCAACATATATGCAAAATTATACACCATGATCAAGTGGGATTCTCCCAGGAATGCAAAGTTGGTTCAACATATGCAAACCAATAAATATTATACACCATATCAATAAAATCAAACACAAGGACCATATGATCATCTCTATAGATGCTGAAAAAGCATTTGATAAAATTCAACACTCATTCATGATAAAGACTCTCTATAAGTTAGGTATAGATAGAAAAGTATCTCATCATAATTAAAGCCATATATGATAAACCCACAGCCAATATCATATTGAATGGGGAAAAGTTGAAAGCTTTTCCTTTAAGAACAGGAACTTGGCAAGGATGTCCACTCTCACCACTCCTATTCAACATAGTGTTGAAAGTACTAGCCAGAGCAATCAGAGAAGAGAAGGAAATAAAGGGCATCCAGATTGGAAAAGAGGAAATCAAACTGTCCCTCTTTGCAGATGACATGATCCTATATATCGAACAGCATAAAGTCTCTACAAAAAAACTCTTGGAGCTGATAACTGATTTCAGCAAAGTAGCAGGATACAAAATCAACACACAAAAATCAGTAGCATTTCTATTCTCCAATAGTGAACATGCAGAAAGAGAAATCAAGAAAGCTCACCCATTTACGATAGCCACCAAAAAAATAAAATAGTTAGGAATAGAGTTAACCAAGTATGTGAAAAATCTCTATAATGAGAACTGCAAACCACTGCTGAGAGAAATTAAAGATGACACAAGAAGACGGAAAGATCTCCCATGCTCTTGGATTGGAAAAATCAACATTGTGAAAATGTCCATACCACCCCAAATGATATACAAATTCAATGCAATCCCCATCAAAATTCCAATGACATTTTTCTCAGAAATGGAAAAAACTATCCAGACATTTATATGGAATAACAAAAGGCCACGCATAGCCAATGCAATGCTGAGCAAAAAAAATAAACTGGAGGGCCAGCCCAGTGGCGCACTGCTACAGTGCGCCGCTTGGGAGCGCGGTGGCGCTCCCGCCAAGGGTTCGGATCCCACATGCAGACCAGTTCCCGCTCACTGGCTGAGCGAGGTGCGGGCACAACATCGAGGTTTGCGATCCCGTTGCCGGTCCCGGTCCGGTACGGGCGCGACACTGAGGGTTGCGATCCGTTGCCNCTGAGGGTTGCAATCCATTGCCGGACACGAAAAAAGACAAAAAGGAAAAAAAAATTAAAAAAATTAAAAAATAAAAAATAAATTGGAGGCATAACACTACCTGACTTTAAACTATACTACAAAGCTATAATAACCAAAACAGTATGGTACTGGCATAAAAACAGACACACTGATCAATGGAATAGAATAGAGAATCCAGAAATCAACCCACACAC